TGGCATTGATAATATTATTTTGTCGTTCCATACGGAATGGAATCAATTCTGTAAGCAAGCAGCGCACTTGATGAAATACATTTGTTTTATGCTGCGGCTAACATGGCGCATGCTTAATATGTCGTCGCTCAATAAGCCGCTTGCTTAATAAACGTTCGGCTAATTAATTAAGTTAAATATTAATTAATAAATTTTGGTGTCTGCTTGCCGAGGTGGAACCAACAACAGCAACAACAGCAGCAACAACAACAGCAACAACAGCCTTAAAGCTGACACAGTCTGCTCACCGTTGCAAGTCATGCAATTAAGCAAATGATAAATCTATCATTATGTAGGCAATATGTGTGCTTGTGTGTGTGTGTGTGAGGGGTCGAGCGAATGGGCAAATGTAATTGTTGCGTGTGGTCAGTGGGCCACAAGTTGTTTGCCGTTGTCGTTCGCAGCGCGCTCGTCTGGCCGCGTCAAGTGTGCGTCCAGCTCCGTTCAACATGACGAATGCGCGATAATTCCATTTACGCTCCCCGCGCTCTATTGTGCTGTTGTGTTGGCGACGGGGCTGCAGCATATTTGCTGGTATTTATAATCTGCTCATTATTTGTATTTAAATAGGCACCCACCCCCCCGGCGCCTCGCTCCCCGAATACCACAACAATTCTATCTAATGCACATCTGTTATGTGTTTGGCCGTCGTAGCTGTTGTTGCCCTTGTTGTTGTTGCCTGGCTGCCTGGCTGCTTGGCTGCTTGGCCGGCTAACAACAAATTGAAGGGAAATGATTCCATTTCATGCTAGATTAAACATGTGTCCACATAATTTATCGATTATTTATCATGTGGTCGCCCGTTTGTTTGTCGACAAACTGACGCACCGCCTGCCGGGCCCGGCCGAAAAAGTACTATAAGTGTGTGTTTATCTGAGTGTGTGCGAGTGTGAGTGCGAGTGCTAGGGCTTGTGTCTCGCTGTGGGGGGTGGCCAGGCGTGGGCGTGGGCGTGCACGTAGGCCTTTGCCATGATATTGCGCACACAAGTGCAAAATTAGAAACAAAAGCTCAGCCCAAGGCGTTCTCTGGCTATTCGCTCCATGCGATTCCCAGCGCAGTTGCCTCGCACTCGCAGCAAACATTTCGCAGTTCGCAGTTCGCAGCTCGCAGTTGGCAGTTAGCAGTTCGCTGTGGCTAGTTTTTTTACGCTCTACGCATTGCATTTTTAACGTGCAGACACACAGGCACACGCACTGCAAAAAAAAATACACGGAAAATGGCAGCCATTTTGTAATCCGCATGCGGCTGGCTGGGTAATCACCTCATCCAGCTTCCCTCACGTGCGGYGGCTYTTGGCCGGGTTTTTGCGGCACATTGGCGCATTATGTGGCCGGCTCTATGGATGTTGTGATTTTGTTGCTGTGATTTCGTTTCTTTTTTTCTTTTTTTCCCGTTTTTCCTATTTTGCTTCTTTATTATTTTGCGCTGGTCAGTCGATCGATATTTTAAAGCTTAGCCAAATGGTGTGGCTGTGCTAAGCGCCTAAAACTATTCCAGCGAGAGCACCACAAATGCCAGCTTTGGCTGCTCCAAACGCATTATGGCACAGCCAGAGCCGCAGCTGTCATGGTTTTATCTAATTTGCCAGAAATGGTTGCGCATTGACGGAGCTGTGGCTACCAATTGATTGTTTCATCTGTGGCTTTGTAGATATAGGAATTGAAATATTGATAAAAATATAGAAATATTTATAAAATTGATATCTACTCTAACTGTGCATCACTGCTCTTTGCACAGATGGCGACATTCTACGCGTTCTGGTCAACAACTCGGCACAAATCAAATGCGATGTCAGCTCCAACTTGCCGGACGACAAAGTGCTGCTCGTCGTTTGGTATAAGAACAATTTGCCCATCTACAGGTAGGTTCACCTAAGCACTGTCTTGATGTTGAGCTGCGCTTGTACAACTCTTGCACTCCACAGCTATGACACCCGGGGCGCCCACGCGGGCACGCCCTCGCATTGGAGAGATGAGGAGGTACTCGAGGATCGCGCCGTCTTTCGCACGCACAAGGAGCCCGCCGAACTGATTATAAGCCCGGTCAAGGTAAGCATTAACCCAAAAGTGACAAAGCCCAAAGGGTCAGCAATACGGCATTCCCTAATTGAATTCCCCATTGTGCCGCGCCACTCGACAGGAAAAGGATGCGGGCAACTTTCGCTGCCGCGTGGACTTTAAGCTGTCCCAAACCAGGAACAGCAATGTCAACTTGGAAGTCGTGGGTGCGTATACAATGAATTGATTGGGATATGGAAAAAAATATACAACTTAAATAAATATTAAATGTATAAATAAATATATGTATATATTTCTTTTTCGTTTGCTTCAAGTTGGTTATTGTTTTATAAATATAATTTTGTGCTTATTGTGCATTTTTAATTAATAAAATTTGAACAACTTACAAATTTAATTAAACACAATATTGATAGGTAAAATAAATTAATATTTAAACACAAATCAGAGCAAAATGAATTAATTATCTGACTTGTGCAATGATGACTTCATTTTGATTATATGTTAGTTCGGTATATTCTTAAAATCAATACAGCTTTTTCAATAATTCACATTGATGTCAATGAATATATATTTTATTATAAATAAATATTGAATTTATTTTGAATAATTTTAATAAAATGCAAAATTAATTATTTTTTTGGCAAAGAGAAAATTTTGCTTTTATTTTAAGTTTAAATTATCCATGAAAAAATTGCATGCAAAAAAAGGAATGTTTCAATTCTGACAATTTACTGATGCAACCATTTGGTTTATCATATTTAATTTATGTAAATTATTTGCCTGTTGGCACGTCAAGATGCACATAAAAAAATGTAATTAACAATTATTAGCCTTTTCTTTTTTATTGCTGCGAACTGCACACATAAATTAGCTGAAATGATTTTTCGGTTAGCCGCAAAGCAAACAATTTAATATGCAAATCTACATGTGTGTGTAAACATGGCATATTCAGTGCGTATGCGCATGTGTATATGTATGTAAATATTTGT